TCCTAATTCCAACCTAAAACCTTTGTTTCATTTAAGAAGATGAAAAAACAATATCAACGCACCATGGGAGATAATATCTTTAATACGTTTGTGATAATGCGATTCAACCGATTTATGGAAGATGAAATAAATAGTTGCAAAGTTTAAGAATACCATATAACCAGCAATTAAAACCACTGTAAATGCCTGTGGTGGAGTGAGTTCCCGTGTCCTCCAGGAAGAAACCTAGAGATTAATAGATTGTGATTAGTCAAGTTTTCTGATTTCATGATTTCTTAAATTGCCATAATACGCCCGCAATCACTGGAAATAGAATGTCATGAGTATTTCTCTTTACTTGCAATCATAAATTTGGGGAACGTCATCAATTGGTATGTCAGTGATTGCATTATTTCCTGAAAGTCTTTCACAGTCTAATATGTGCACTGAGTATTTCGTTTAACTTCAGTGCATGTTTCTAACACTTGATGCTTTATGATTTGGATATATAGCTTCCACAAGAGCATTTCCTGCAAAGGCATGTCTTGGTCCCCACTGGCAAGTCATTTCACTCGGACACAGAATCAATAGGCTGAACATGGAAAGGTTATCGCTGGAATAGCTATTTGACTGCACGGATCTATTCTTTGATATTAAGGAAACAAATACACTGTGTTATTAATGACCCTTACCTGGACATCGCCCTGGATATCCAGGCAGCTCAGAGTGTGAAGCAAGCTTTGGAACAGGTGGTGAAGCCTGAAGAACTCAATGGAGTGAATGCCTATCATTGTGGTCTTTGTCTCCAGAAGGCGCCTGCCTCCAACACGTTCACTTTACAGACTTCTGCCAAGGTCCTCATCCTTGTATTGAAGAGATTCTCCGATGTCTCAGGCAACAAACTTGCCAAGAATGTGCAATATCCTGAGTGCCTTGACATGCAGCCATACATGTCTCAGCAGAACACAGGACCTCTTGTCTATGTCCTCTATGCTGTGCTGGTCCACGCTGGGTGGAGCTGTCACAACGGACATTACCTCTCTTACGTCAAAGCTCCAGGAGGCCAGTGGTATAAAATGGATGACGCCGAGGTCACTGCCTGTAGCATCGCCTCTGTCCTGAGTCAACAGGCCTATGTCCTCTTTTACATCCAGGGCATAACTCAGGGCTCCGTACAACCACAGAATCTTGGGTGCAACCCTGCTCAAGCACACAAATGTGCGTATTAACAGTGTCTCTGTGTGATGTGTGTGCAAACTACAGTGTGACGAGCATGACTGGCAGACAGGTGATCCATTGGGCTCACCTCAAAATCAGTTATGAGCATGAAAGAACACCGATGTCCAGGTCCCGGCTTCAGACATAACACCCTCCAGAGTCTTGTGTGAAGCCGCGGCATCTGGACTGCTCATGCTTCTGGGGATCATTCTCCTGAAAATGGTGGCTCCTTTCTCCC